ACATACATACATACATACATACATACATACATACATACATACATACATACATACATACATACATACATACATACATACATACATACATACATACATATACATATACATATACATATACATATACATATACATATACATATACATATACATATACATATACACACAAATGTTCCTGTCAGGTATACCTGACAGGAACCGCCGTCCGGCCTCCTCCTTTTGGGGGCCTTCCCGGTATTATTTTTTGCTCAAATTTTTTGTGTATGTTCCTCATCAAGTCTAGTTCATCCATACCAAATTTCAGAAAAAAATTCAATCGGGAAGGTCGTCAAATGATTTTTGCAAGTTAACTGGTCCGGAATATGTATTTTCCGGACCAGTTAACTTGCAAAAATCATTTGATGACCTTCCCGATTGAATTTTTTGCTGAAATTTGGTATGGATGAACTAGACTTGATGAGGAACATACACAAAAAATTTGAGCAAAAAATAACACCGGGAAGGCCCCCAAAAGGAGGAGGCCGGACGGCGGCTCCGGTCAGGTATACCTGACCGGAAGATTACTCTACATATACATATACATATACATATACATATATATATATATATATATATATATATATATATATATATATGTCTTGGTTCAAATAAGAACACGATCTTATGAGAGAAATGAGAATGAATCTGGACCGTTAGATTTGCTTAAAGTGAAATTCAGTGTGCATTAGATGAAACTGTAATGTGCATTAGGTGAAATTGAAATGTGCATCACAAAGGGTACGATAGAGTGACAATATGTGCAGTTGAATTGTGCATTACGTGAAATTGAAATGCGCACTAGGTGAAGCTGAAATGTGCAGAATAAAAAGTACGATGTGATGTTATTTTTGTACTTTTTTTCGCACATATCAGTTTCATCTAATGCACACTTGAGTTTAAAATTTTATTTTGCACATTTCAATATCATTTAATGCACATTTCAGTTTCACCAAATGCACAATTTGGTTCCACATAATACAATCCAACGGTCCAGATTCATTCTCGTTTTTCCTAAGATCTGTTCTTACCGAAACCGCTCCCTATATATATATATATATATATATATATATATATATATATATATATATATATATATATATGCAGACAAATTTTAAACATATGCCCCTAAATCACTAATATTTGTTAAAATTTTAAGAGACATTAATTAAAATGTATACACAACAATTCACTAATATTAACTTTGTAATTAATTAGTGATTCAATTAAATTAGTATTATGAATTCAAATCCCAAAAAACAAGACATTAACAATAATTGCTAAAATTTAAATATATTTCTAAATGAATTTCAAATATATGCACAATAAATTACAAGTTGATTAACATTTTTAAGGAAATAAATTTCTTATTAGTTAACAACTACACTAACATTTTTAAGGAATGATGGAGTAATAACAACGTAAATAAATTCATATCTAACAACAAAAGTAATGGGTATATTAATTTAAATGACATACCTTATATGTGATACACATTGAAGCAAATAATAACATCTAATTGCATCATCAAAATTCTCTACCGACAGGCCTCGTTCTAAACATGTCACTGGGAGGATCACCCTCCAAATTTGAAGTTTTTTCCTGGAAGTTGAAACCTTGTTGACTATGAGGATTTGATCCGGGTACCTCAAAAAAAAATGAGGATTTGATCCGGGGAAAAATTTCGACGACGAAAACAGGCCCCCCCAGAATTTTTTGGGTGTATCGGCAACCATTTTGTCAAGGAATTTGTAAGGGATTTCATATGTGACAAAAATCCGTGACAAAAACGTGTAGACATTTTGTTATGTGGAAAAAAGTGATGCTAGTGAGTGACGTGAGAAGGAACATGTATTGAACTAGGCCCGTAGATAGAACTTTCAGGTAAATCAAATGTTTTTCTGAATTATTAATATTTTTCAAATAAATTCTTGGGTTTTTTACAAAAATATTACTAAAATAAACGATCGCTTTTTTTACTAAAATAAAACTTATTTACACAAATATAACTATTAGTTAGTACAATGTAGTGTCATAGTAACTTAAGTATAAAAAAATGAACATAAATTACTACAATTTCATTACTACTCTAGTCATTAATCATATTTTTTTTTGTAAAGAATCTTCATTTTAGTCATAATTATGTAATTATTTCTAAATTCTTATATACATTTTTCTAAATTATAAATCAAATGTTTTTTAAAATTTGAGTGGGTCTTGGCCAAATGGTGGCCCACTTCGCTATAGATATATTGCTAGTGATGCTGGTTGACAGGTTGTTGATATATTGTTCCATAAGGTGGAATCTCCCACTCCATGGTCCCCCTACCCTGACCCGACAAAATAGTGGAGGAGTATGTCACATTGACTTAGTCGGGTCAATGGTGGTAGACCTTATACTAGTGGTGGACCCGGTTCGGGCCGCCCGGCCCGGGACCGGCCCGGCCCGTCACTGTGCGGGCCCAGAACCGGCCCGGTTCTCGGGTCCGGGTCCGGTTCGGGCACCGAACCGGTTGGGTTAGCAGGTCCGGGCCCGGGTCCTGTTTTTGGAGGCCCGGGCCTAACGGTCAGTTTTTTTTTTTTAAAAAAAATCATTTTAATTTGAAAAAAAAACTTTTGGCTCAACAGCCACTTCCCAAACGGCTATATAGCCGTTGGGGGGGTACCAGGGGGGTCCGGGGTGTTTGGGGGTGGGGTGGGGTGGGGGTGGGGGGTGGGGGGTGGGGGTTAAAAAAACCCTATAAATACTCCTAATTTTAAACATTTTTTCACACCTCTTCTCCAACTCTCCCTAAATCCTACTCTCTACTCATCTCCAATTCTCCATATTCATCTTCTCAAATTCTCTTATTCTCCTTTATATTTTATTTTACTATTTAATATTTATACAATTATTATATCTATTTATATATTAATTATCTACTTATAAATACATATACTATATTACTTATATTTCTTATCTACTTAATCTCTACTTATATTTCTTAATACATACATACATACTACATCTACTTAATATATACTTTATATAATAAAGTATTAAATATACTTTATAAACTATTACTATATACTTAATACATAATAATATCTACTTCTCTACTTAATAATATCTATTTTATATATACTTATTTTATAATATCTACTTTTATATATACTTTATAATATCTATTTTATATATACTTATTTTCTTATTTTCCAATCTCCAATTCTCCATTATACTCTAATATTTAATTCTTATACAATTATTATATCCATTTAATACATACATTCTACATCTACTTAATATATACTTTATATATTAAAGTATAAAATAAAAGTGTATTACTCATCTTATAGTAGTATACTTACATATTATATACTATAAACATTATATTATATATTACTTACTATAACTAGTATTGTACTAGTTAATTAGTTAATTAGCATTCTTGTTACATTTATCATTATAATAGTTAATTAGTTCATTACCATTATTGTTACATTTTTCATTATACTAGTTAATTAGTTTATTAGCATTGTTGTTACATTTGTCATTATACTAGTTAATTAGTTAATGGAAAAATTGATAGTAATAATCCCAACTATTGGCGGTCCGCTCATAATAATCCCAACTATTGATTATTACAGAATAATCCCAACTTTAGGGACCTTCCGCCAATAATGGTCCCTATGAATAAATTCTTGTAGTTTCTAAAGTGGATGATATGAGATATAACAAGTAATCCCTATAAATAATCTCAACTTTTAATTTTTACGCTTAATTTCTATTTAAAATTCACTTTTTATAGAGGTAATATATGGTCATGGACCATTATTGGCGGATAGTCTATATAGTTGGGATTATACAAAAATAATCAATAGTTGGGATTATTTTCAGCGGACCAGCAATAGTTGGGATTATTATTTTCAATTTTTCCTTAGTTAATTAGCATGGTTGTTACATTTTTCATTATACTAGTTATTTACTTCATTAGTATTCTCATTAATTGTTAAAACAACTCTACTTCAATAAACTAGTTAATTGTCATTAATTCATTATAGTTAAAGTCACATTTTCTTATTTTCCATTTATATTTGTAGGAAGAAATAGTAGTTCAATCATTTAATTAAAGTACTTAACATTTTATTTAATTAGTTTTTACTAAATTAAAGTACTTCAAAAGTTGGTATAATTTTAATTTTAAAGTCACACATTAATTCTACTTTGCACTAAATTAGTTTGAAGTATTAATTAAAATAGTTTTAATTAGTTGCATTCGTTTTGTATCCATTATTATATTGGTTGTCAATTAATATTTGTTACATTTTTAACATGGAAGGTGGTAGATATTCGGTTGATTTGGGTAACCTCCAACGCAATCGAAGGAACGAGATTGGGAGGAAGAAATCCCGCAAAGGTAAAGAACTTGCCGGTTCTTCATCTCAAAGCCGAGATGATTTTGAAACGGGTTACCAAAGGCGAGATGGAGATGCGATGTCCGAAGAACAACTCCAACAAGAATTGGCCCGACATAATAACCGCTTTCTACAACAACAAATGTCGACGACCATTGACGAAGAGGAGCTTGAGGATGAAGATGCGGAGGAATTGGAACCGGAGACGGCCGAGGAGGAGGGTGCCGGCAGCCACGACGCCGACGTGCCTGCCTCATCCCAAACCGCCACCGGTAATAAAAAAAGTAAGTCTGAACTAATGAAAAATAATTTTGATAAATGGAAGGACCCACAAACCGGCTATTGGCACGCAACTTGCAAGTGGTGCAACAACAATTATAGTTTGGGAACCTCCGGCGGATACGGATCCACCGCAAGGCATCTTAAGGCAAAGCACCCCGTGGAGTATGCAAAATTAGGCGGCGGAACGGGGAAGCAAACTCAAATATCGAGGTTTGCGAATTCTCAACCTTTTGGTAATTTCTCCTACAATGATGCACAAAATTTGACTGGTATGACTAACTTAATTTGTCAAGAAAATTTGCCTTATTTGTTTTCTGAAAGTCTTGCTTTAAGAGATTATGCACAAGGTAGTTTAAATCCTCAATTTAGAAATTATAGTCGCAAAACTGTTAAGAAAGAAATAATAAGGCTTTATAATGCGGAAAAGGAAAGGTTACAAATTTTTTTTGCAAACTTTGATGGGCGTGTTACTATTTGTTCTGACATATGGGAGGATGATTTTCATCATTTATATTATTTGGGTCTGACTGCACATTATATTGATGAGGATTGGAATATGCATAAACGTGTTCTTGCTTTTCGTGAATTTAATGATCGTCACACCGCTGAACATATTTATATTTTGATTGAGCGTATTTTAATTGAGTATAATTTGATTGATAAGGTGTTTGCTATTGGTTTCGATAATGCTACTAATAATACTGCTGCTATACCTAGATTGCGTGAGTTGTGTGGTGCCAATTCTTTGATGGGTAGATTTTTTCATCAACGCTGTGCATGCCATGTTATAAATTTATGTGTGCAAGACGGTTTAAAAGCGTTAGGAGATTCCATGGAGGTAATAAAGGGGGGGATTAGACGTATTTGGGGTAATGGTCATGATGGATAGTCTACCCGGGGGGTATCTTATCCGAGGGGTTATTGCGGGAATAACTAGAGAGAAGTCAGAGCAAAATAGGAGGAGAGAGAGTCGATTTATTAAATGAACTCAGCGTGGTTTACAAGGAGAATAAGGGCTGCTATTTATAGCAGCAATAAATGTGATGAGAGTACGCGTGTGAGTAATCCAACGGCCGAGGGGTCACATCAATCGGGGTGGCACCGACCATCGCACGTTCCCCACATTAAATGCGGTGGGTGGATGTGACGTCGCATTAAATGCGGTGGTTGGCTGTCTCCAAAGGGAATCTTCGATGATTGAGTCCGTTTAGCCGAAGGCTCCTCGCGTAGCCGAGGGCTTTGTGTGGACGAAGGCATTGTGTGGCCGAAGGCTTCATGTATGGCCGAGGGCTTCATGTATGGCCGAGGGCTTCATGTATGGCCGAAGGCTTCATGTATGGCCGAAGGCTTCATGTATGGTCGAAGGCTTCATGTATGGCTGAAGGCTTGATGTATGGCCGAAGGCTTGATGTATGGCCGAAGGCTTTATGTATGGCCGAAGGCTCCATGTGTGGCCGAAGGCTCCATGTATGGCCGAAGGCTCCCTGTGTGGCCGAAGGCTTCATGTATGGCCGAAGGCTCCCTGTGTGGCCGAAGGCTTCATGTATGGCCGAAGGCTTCATGTATGGCTGAAGGCTCCCTGTGTAGCCGAAGGCTTGGCTCAGCCGAGGGCTTCCCCTGGTGCCGAGGGCTCCACAGTGCCGAAGGCTCCTATTTTCTGTCGTTTTCTCCCAGTAGCTTCGCATGGTCAAATATGGCGGTTCTGTGAGTTTTAGAGCCTTCGGCCAAGGAGGCCGAAGGCATCCCTGTGTGTACTGTGGGCTTCTTGACGCTTGGGCCGCCGAATCTTGGGCCTCCTGAGCTCCTTGGGCTTGTTGGGCTTGTGATAGATTAGTAGGAGTCTGTGGGCCGGGGGTTCCCGGGCCATATACTCCATCAGGTCAACTTAGATTAAAATGGCAAAGTTATTTGACTGAAAGAGGTGTGAGATATGTTGCTTTTCCTAAAGATTTGAGTATTCGTTGGAATAGTACTTATAAATTACTTAAAGTTGTTCTTAGATATAAAGAACATTTTCCTGCTTTTTTAAAAGAACATGATAACTATATTATAAACGCGGCTGAGATCGACACTTGCGAAAAAATTTGTAATGTTTTGATATATTTTTTTAATGCTACTAAAACTTTTAGTCATGTTTATAAACCTACCGCAAACCAATTTATTCCACAAGCTGTTAATCTCGCCGATGCTTTTAAAGAATTTCAGAATGCCGTTTTCGTTCATTATTTTTGTGATCATATGAAGGAAAAGTTTTTAAAATATTATGCGCATATTCCCCATATTTATGATATTGCATTTATTCTCGATCCTCGGTATAAACTTGCTAATTTGGAAGATTGTTTCAACTTCTATTATCTTGCATTTTTCGGTGAATTTCCAATGTATGACGATAACCCCATAGATCCGAAAACGGAATACAACGAGGTTAGTACTTTATTCTATGCCTTATTTAATGAGTTTCGTGCACAATATAGCAACGCTCCCCCTCCCCCGTCACGAACATCTTCATCTAAAGGAAAATCGATTTTTAAATCTGCATTTGGCAATCTTATGAAAAAAACTAAAACAACTCACGTCACTGAACAAAGCGCATTGAATGAGATTACTTTGTATTTAACATATGAAGTTGATTTTGAAGAAAATGATGACTTTGACGTTCTAGACTGGTGGAAGTCAAAAGAAAGAACGTTCCCGATTTTAGCATGGATGGCTAAGCAAGTACTATCAATGCCGGTTTCGACAGTTGCTGTGGAACAAGAATTTAGTTCGGCCGGCAACGTCCTAACGGCATCTAGATCGAGATTGAGCGCGGAGTCTCTTGAGACGCTTATATGCTACCACGATTGGTTGAAGGCCGCACGTAGAACTCAAGAATTGAGCATCACCCCCTCCCAAGATTTTATGGATGACTCAACAACCGATGGTGGCTCTACCTATGCCGGAGATTCCGATTGATTAGTATTTTAGAATTTATTATAAAATGTATTTTATAGCACTTGTCAAATTTATTTATACTTGTACTTCATTTTTCAAAATTGTAAACTTGTACTTCATATTTCAAAATTGTGTAGTTGTACTTCAAATTAATTTGTAAACTTGTACTTCATATTTCAAATAAATATGTGTTCACTTTTTCATATGTAGCACTTCTCAAATTAATTAATTGGTTACAATCTAACGACTTAAAATTATTTTTCTAAAATATAAAGCCGGTTTTTAAATTAAAAATACATTTACAATATGTAATTTGTTTAAATACTTATACACCTATTTTGTAACATTTGTAAATTATAAATCAAACCACTTTTCTAAGTACAAATAGTTTTAGTTTTACTTAATTCATTAAATTAATTAATTTATTTTACAATATGTGTATAACTTAAAAAAAAAAGTTAATTCAAACCTCCCAAACGGCTATATAGCCGTTGGGGCTATGGGTGGGGGGCAGGGGGGTCCCGGGGGTGGTGGTGTGGAGAGTGGGGTTCAAAAACATCTATAAATACATCTATTTTCTAACATTTTTCTACACCTCTTCTCCAATTCTTCTCAAACTCTTCTCCATCTTCATCTTCTCTTATTATCCTACATTCCTACTTATACAGTTATACATATACCATTTTAAATATGGAAAGTACATCTTCCCTTATGCAAAACAATTTTGACAAGTGGAAGGACCCGAAGACCGGACTGTGGTGGGCAACTTGCAGGTGGTGCAAGAAAGAGTGTTGCTTGGGGCGTTCATACGGATACGGGATGCCAATAAAACATATGAAGTCCTGTGACAAAGGGAAAACAACAACCAACGGTGGCGGAAATCCCAATTGATATTCATTACAAAATGTATTTCGTATTGTTATTTTTTTCTCAATTCTCAAATGTAGTTCTTATTTCAAATAAATGCACTTGAACTTTGTTTTTAATAGCAAATTGTATAATATATACTACCTCCGTCCCAGAATTATCTTCATAGTTCGGTTTACGATGTTTGACCGACGATAAAGCAACTTGATCCCTGTTCACACTCGAATTATTTTTAGTAAATAAAATTTACATATTCAGAAACTACATTAAAACCGCTACAAAGCCTGATTAAGAAAATTTGAATTTGATAAAAATTTGATATATAAAGTAAAAGATTAAGAGTAATTTGAGTTGACCATGTGAATAGTAACTATGAAGATAATTTTGGGACGGAGGGAGTAATTAATTAAAAAAAAATTACTGGCCCGGCCCGGCCCGGCGGGTGGCCCGGCCCGAACCGGAACCGGTCATTGACCGGGCCGGTCCCGGGCCTACCATTATAAGACCCGAGGCCCGGCCGGGTCACCAGAAGTCTAGCCCAACTCGCAGGTTTCGATCCTTGGTCATTATTCTAAACTTTCCACCACTCGAACAACTGAGCTACCCGTGAGGGTGACATGTTGTTGATATATAGTTTGAGGTGATGGACTTATTAGGAGTTGGATGTGACGGACACTTTTTTCTTGATAAATTTATAAAAAAAATTGACTAGTGGTGATTTGTGGTGTGGAGTCACTAGATATAAGGAAAAAGTAGAGTGTAAATGAAATAGATAAATAAAGAGCAGATGAGTTAGAAAAAACACTCCTGGTCCTATTTGAGAAATCATGCTAAACTTTATTTATCCTGAATAAGAAAGTTTCTTTTTTTTTTTAGAAAACTCACAATAGACTCTCAATTTAATTATCTTTAACTTCTTAATTCAGTTTACATAGATAATGCTCCACCAATGCAAATCAAATCAGGTGATTTCCAATTAGAATTTTAGCAAGTCGGTCTTATTTAGGTCACATTGCGATTTCATTCTCTGATCTCAACATTGACACATCATCATGTCGCCACTTCATTGCCACATAAGTACCATCTCACTGAGAAATCATCTACCTTACATATTTTATTATTTTTATAATTTATTTTTTCTTTCTTCTTCCAACAGGTTGAATCTCCAATTCTAAGAACCCCCACGCTGCGACCCGATAAGGCTTTTGGGAACTTGTTAGTTACACTGACTCAGTCAGTTCAATGGTGATAGACCTTGTGTCCAATCCAGTACGCAGGGGATGTAACCTCCACACGGCCACTGCGAGTTTCGATCCTTTATCATTCTTCCAACTTCTACACTATTTAACCAACTGAGCTACCCGTGCGAGTAAATATTTTTCTTTGTTTCCACCGCCCTGCTTTCCCTCACCACCACCCTTCCCTATTCACTTTCCAACGCCCCTATCAATAGGCACAAACATCCATTATTGTGAGAGGGGCAAATTCTGGTTTGTTTGTTTGTTTAGGGAAAAGGATTAAATAAATCTATTTACATTGTAAATCCATCACCTATACCCATGTATTAAGCAACACATAAACATGTTTTCTCTACAAAAAGAATCACATCGATCAGTTAATATTTTGGAAGGTTAATGTTTTTTTTGCTAGTATTGTAATAATTTTGTTTTTTATTTTTTTCTTTACTTTTCTACCTATTTCTGGCTTGCTAGTTCTTCCCGGCCACCTCTTCTCCTTCTTATCTTTTTTTGTTCTTATTATTTTCTTATTCTTCTCTCATTTTTCTCATGGTATATATCATTGTGAATGCACTTGATATTTGGCTCACTTTATTCTTCAAACTTTTAATCGATTCACGACACTAAAGTCGTTTGTGTCTCAAAATAAATTAATGATTAGCATTAATAATCTTGATGGAGTATATTGTCATACACCCCAGGGGTATCACTAAGGTAACTCTGGCCACTAAGGTAACTCCGGCCAAGGCCGAGCTCCAAACTCGTTCTCATATCACCGAGACAAGTCCAAAACTGCAGCCGAGGGCAAGGTTGACCCTCACTGAGGTCGGTGGCAATTCCTGCACTGAGTATGACCTTCAAGCCAACTCCGCATTGTGAGATCAAGAATCAACAAAGACATGCCTACTTCACATTACGATCCAAGGTTCCCCACCTCTTAGCTAATAAAGCATTGACACCTGAGCTTGGCACGTGTTCTTTGCCCGAGTTCGGGACCTCAGATAGAGATCGTGGACTTGGACAATTCTGTGTTGAAATCTCACAACGCCTAGGTCAGGGTACGTCACCTTATGACAGTTGTCCCAAGGCTGACGTCATCATATTCTATTACACATGCCAGCTGCCACACTTACACACGTGACTTATATAGCCATTCTCTTACGCAAGGACAAAAGTTGGTACAACAGTACCAATCAATCAAATATTATCTTTCCCATTAGCTTTACATGTGACAACAGATTAGAGAATTAGTTATTTTAGTTGTTCACCAAGTATTCACTTGTACACTATAAATATCATCTCCCGGGTTATGAAAAGGGATCACAATATCGATTTCTAGCTTAGTGTTATTCTGCCAAAATTCCTACTAAGTCTGCACTTTGTATATTTCCGGCTCTCCCTCAGTCTTACACACCCCCAGGTTGGTAAGGCTATCAGCCGTAGTAGAATTCATACCCACATGAGAATGTATAATTACTGTGTGAAATTGAAATAAAAAGGAGAGTTTTGAGTTTGTATGAACGTGATATTCTTGTTTTAAACACTAAGATGGGAAGAAGACCTGTTTGTTGGAATTTGGGAGGTAAGTTTCCCGATGAATGAAGTAGAGTGCTTTGTGAAGAGGTATGGAGATAGAAGTCTCCATCACCTAGTTCAAAATTTTCAATAAGAGGGTCATTGGATGTCGTGGCAACTGCGGATGTGGAAGGATTCATCTCTCCCTTCTTTTCTAGATGAATGAGCTATCATGTTCTATCTCGTGCACATTTATATCTCAAGATTAAGAGGGATGGATGGATTAGTCGACACTTTTGATGAACGGTTCCTCGGCCTTCAGGGCATGCTGAGGAGGAGTGGGCCTCATCTTTCTTGACGGATTCAGAGCATATACTATGTTATATGCTTCAACTTTAGAACACCCAACATCGAAACCGAGTATGACGCCCTCCTCAGCGGTCTCAGATTCGAAGCTGGGATAAAAGCGAAACACATTCGCTTTAAGTACGATTTTAAACTGATAGCTGACCAAATCATCGGGTCGCACGAAAACGTTCAAAGCCCACAAGATTACTCGGATCCCAAGGGACGAAAACGCCGAGGCCGACATGCTCTCCAAACTCATCTTTAACTCCCCTTGAACACATCTTAAAGATAGATAAATTCGAGGAACTCAACATATCCATCATCCATGAATGCCACATCCTATGTGTCCGGTGGTCACTGACACTATAGCTCTGGTGGTCACTTTCACTGGGAGGGTATAGAAGTCTTGCTAGTCATGTTTTTGGAAAAGTTTAAAATTAGTCCTAGTTTTTGTCAACATGTTTTTTAAAGTATCTGTGTCAAAATCCCTATTTTAATTAGACCATAAAAGGGATATTTTTAATCTGATTTAATCTTATTTGTTTAAGTGTGCTATCTATTTTATGTGTGATAGAGTATATAGATTCGGACCCTCAATCTCATGAGTATTGGGCCTCAACTGCGGTCCACACACACTCAGCAGACAACATTTATATTATTGTGCAGTTCACATATTATTTGCATCTATTTGATTAGTCTTTTACGTAGTTAGACCTATCAGACTCATATTAACGCCTAACGCGTGCTTTCTCTATATATACTCTCTTGAGAGATCTTGTAAACCTAATTCCTAATTCACACTACACATTCTGTTAGACTACAAGATGTTGATGAACAGTTCTTCTTGATTGATGCCAAAACTCCTCAATGATTTCTCCCCTTCATTTGTAGCTTTAGGAAATGTTGTACTCTGCTTGACTTATTGTTACTAGTAAAATGTCATCTGAAAGGAGGAGGTTTTTCAACTAAACAAATAGATATAACTGGAAAAACATAAAATACAATAAGGCAATATTTTATTGTCTTAAAAGGATATCATATAAACTAGTTAAATCTATTTGTTTAATGAACTGTGAACAACTAACTGGAACACAAAATGCAATAAGGTAATAACTTTTACCTTAATAGGATTTGTTATCCTACCAGTTAAGTTGTACACAATACCTGCTAAAGTTATCTAAAAGTGACAAAAACACCAATGTAAAAACTATGTACCAGATTAAACATACTGGAATTATAAAATGCAATAAGGTAAATTCTTTTTTACCTTACATGGATATTTATTCCAACCAGTATAGTTTTTATATGGTACATAAGTTTAATCATGTCACTTAAGAAAGAAAGTGATTAGTAAAATAAGTGACAAATTTTATTGTAAAATTTGTACCAAATAAATTGTACTGGAAAGAACAAAATGCAATAAGGTAAGTTTACCTTAATAGGATATTTAAAAGATCCTACCAGTACAAAATTTATTTGGTACAAAATATTCTAAGTCACACATTTTACTACTTCACTACACAAATTGAGCAGGTTCACGCACTTAGCTTCACAAGTGTAGTTGCAAGACAAGGCCAATACACTCAGAATGCAAGAACAGCGAAGACATCAGAATAGGTGAACAGTGAAACCTATCAGAATAGGCGTGCAGCGATAAGAAGACCTGAGGTATGGGTTTTATCTTCGTACAAAGCAAGTGGCCTTCAAAGACAATTCCTTATCCTGCTCCAACACAAGAAGACGCAAGTACAATACTTTGGACGTCAAGGATTAAATCCTCTTAACCAACGGAGGAGATTAATCTACTGGAGATGCCTATAAAAATAGGCAGAAGCATGAGTTCAAAGATAAGTCATTGAGTTCAAAGCAAGAGATTCTGTTATTACACTACGAATATCCAGCAAAAGAGGAAGTGCTAGAATACTCTGCTTTGACTCATGCTTCACTAAGCTCTTAGATTAGATCAACACCTTCATACCTTTAGAACTTAGTTTTTAGTTGGTGGCCAGAATATTCCTTGTATTGTTACAAGTGATTGTAAACACTTAGGAGAACAGTTGTTCGGATCCTAAAGTGTGGTTAGATAGATAGAGTACCTTTTGATCCCCACTGGATCAATTGAGAAAAGTCTAAGGACTGAGTAACTTTAAGTGGTGTTATACTCATTGTGAAAAACCTTCAATCTAGGCCAGAGTTGTCAAGGCTAGATTTGCACTAATTGTATTGGGCTGAATACTTTAGTGGAAATCCATTTGAAATAGAATGGGACTGGATGTAGGAGGATTACACCACCTCTGAACCAGGATATATATGGTGTGTTGATTTACTTTCATACATACAAAGCACACACCAAACACATCTCACTAAAGGTTTGTAGTTTGCCAGCAGCATCCTAAGCAGTAGTCTTCATCGACTCTACTGCTTAGCCTACTGCTTAATAACTCACTCTCCTTGAGAGTGTTTTTCACTAGAAGTTGTCTTAAACTCAGAAGGTGCCTCAGCAGTACCCTGGTCTTCACCCTCCTGCTGAGCCCACTGCCCATCCATACGTATCTTTCCAAACTCCATAACAAGCCAGAACAAAAAGCCATCCAAGAGTCATCCTGTTCTTAACAGTTGCCTCAGCAGTAACCTGCCTACCAGCCAACTGCCAACTCAGCAGTTGCCTGCCAGTCAGCAAACTGCCTGTGCAGCAGCAGCCTAAGTAGTTACCTGCTCACCAGTCAACTGCCAAGCCTACTTCCTCTCATAACCAGTCTAAACATCATCTAAACTAGAAAGTTATCTCACACCCAGTATAAAGAGGTTAAAGACTTCCGCTGTGCATCTATTAATCTCCCAAAAGATTATAGATCAACTTATCTAGAGGGAAAAGTGTTTCAAAATTGAAAAAGCTTTAAAAGTCTATTCACCCCCCCCTCTAGACTTTTACCTCTATCCGGGATCATCACATTCATCTTCTCTCTTGGCTCAATGTCTCCTAAACTATACTCCGTATAATGTAGATACACTATTACGGAGTATACATCAATGAGTGTTTTATAATTGTCGAAATCTGATATGATTTATTTTTTTTTTTATCTGATTTACTTTGAGATAATCCAATCAAAAATTTCTAACCGAATAATCTTTAGGATTGTACTATAAGTACCCCATTTTTACCTCATAATAAATGTGGGCCAAATGAAGCCATTTTTACCTCACAATAAATGTGGGCCAAATGAAGCTGCATTTAAAGGTGTTTTTAAAGGTGTTGTCTCACTTAAATGTGTTGACCCAATTGTGACCACACGATAGCAGATAAAAATGAGATACTTTTAATCTTTAATTGATTTTTCGAAGGGAAAATGGTTACAAATGGGAGTAAAATTTACTTCGTTTACTAAAATAGGAGTGCGGTTATTTTTAATCCTAAATAGGAGTATATTTTATTCATCTGTCATTTTTACCCCTGCTATTTCGTTTAAAGCGGAAGATAGAAACTCAAACATTACATCCGCGATTCGGATAGCGGGAGAGTAGGCATGAAGGTATTCGATCGATGGTGAACGAGGGTGCACAAGGCAAAGACGGCGGAGTTGAAGAGGCCGACGGTGAGCAGCGGCGACCAGCGTGAGACTGTCGGCGAGTTGCGATTCGAGATCTGGTGACCTGAGTGAAGTAGCTCGTAGATCTGGTGACCAGCGACCAACGTGGGACCTTCTTCTTCTCTGGTTTTGGCTCTGACGACAGATTTAGCCTTTTCCGGCAGAGGTGTTGCTAGCAGAATGAATGCCAGTCGATAGCCATATGCACAGTGATAGCTCCAGAGGTGTCAAGAATTGATGCCTTCGTGAAATAACAAAACAGCCTCAGATGCTTGATTGCTTCTTTGTTTATTAAAAACTGCAAATTGTATGCTCAGAATGCCATTAAAATTACATTATTATTCTTCAAAATGCCATATTTTAGTTTGAAAATGCCATTAATATGACCTTGTTGCTTCAATTTGGTAGTCCGAAATTTTTTTTGGCATTTTTCCCGGTCTTCAACAGTGATGGTGCTGGGAGGCGTGAGAGTCGGTAGAAGGTGCCGGCATTTGTAATTTCATTTTTATGATTTTTTATTAGATAAAAAGTGAATTTTTTAATGTTAAAATATGCTAAGGGTAGAATGGGCATATACATACTAACTAGTCCTATTCTGGAAATTTAATACCTCTACTCCTACTTGTGCAATATAGCTTTTATTTAGTCCCTTTTAAGGAATTACCCCTTTTTCGAATTGATTTATCGAATTGGAGAAACTCAAAGCAGCTCATGGCCACCCAAGACCCAATCCATCACAATACTTCTCACCATGAACGCCGCCATGTTCGCTGCTTCTTATATCTCCCATTTCACTTCCAAAGCCCATTTCCCCACTCTCTTCATATCACCTCGACCAATCACTTTACCCCTACTTCGCGTAGTCCGCCGAAATCTTCCAATTTCCACCGCTATTGAGACCCAGAAACAAACAGAAGCAGCGTTAGCGCCGCCGCAGCAATTTGACGACTATGTGGAGGACGAAACATACGGCGAGGTTAACAAAATCATCGGTAGCCGCCGGGCAACTGAAGCTGGAACAGGGATGGAATACTTGATAGAGTGGAAAGACGAACATGCCCCGACCTGGGTCCCTTCCGACTACATCGCCAATGACGTCGTCGCCGAGTACGAGACTCCGTGGTGGACAGCCGTCAAAAAGGCCGACGAATCTTCTCTGAGGAAGCTAGTGGAAGCCAGCGATGACGGGAGGGACGTGGACGCCGTTGACGAGAACGGTCGTACGGCTCTACTATTCGTTTCCGGGCTTGGATCTGAGTACTGCGTCAAACTACTGGCAGATGCGGGGGCGGACGTCAATTACAGGGACAAGCGCGGTGGCGGCTTGACGCCTCTACACATGGCAGCAGGCTACGTCTGGCCTGGAGCGGTGAAGATGCTAATCAGGCTGGGAGCAGATCCCGAGGCGGAGGATGACCAAGGGCAGACGCCGCTTGACCTGGCAAGGACGATCATGAAGAAGCAAAGCCCGATGGAATTGGATAGAAGGTTAGGGTTAGGGGAAGTAATTGCGGCACTCGAAGAGGCGATTTACGAGTTTGCTGAAGTGGAGGAGATATTGGAGAAGAGAGGAAAGGGGGAGCAGGTGGAGTATCTGGTGAAATGGAAGGACGGAGAGGCGAATGAGTGGGTGAAATGTGGGCTGATAGCTGAGGATTTGGTGAGGGATTTCGAGGCTGGGCTGGAGTATGCCGTAGCAGAGAGAGTTTTAGAAAGAAGGGAAGGAGGGGAGGGTGGGAAAAGGGAGTATTTGGTGAAGTGGTCAGACATTGAAGAGGCGACATGGGAGCCTGAAGAAAATGTTGATCCCACTTTGATACACCAGTTTGAAAAGGATCAATTGTAAACATGTAAGTGAATCCACTTTCCTAACAAGCCTTGAAATTAACAAATGTTATGCTAGACCATGTCTCCATTTGCATGTATGCATGTTGTAGTGTTTATCTCAAACATGCTAAATGTAAAATATGAAACCAACATACTCTGTTTAAGTTAGGAGTAATAGGCTAAGGCTACTGGTATCAGGTTTACCTTTTAAAATCTCACATTTAAATAAGGTATTAGAATAAACCCCATACTTAACCTTGATGTGTGCCCCCGATTCAATTATGCAAACTCGGTATGAGATTCATTCGTTCTGCAAACTATGAGACGCCTTTATTGAATAACTAGAAATGTAAGAGAAGACCTTATTGTAAGGGGTGGTGGGAGTACTTAATTGCCATGAATTGAGGAACCAAGAATTGTTGTGTTTTTTTTTTACCAAGAATTGTTGTGTAGTTTGAAGTTGGATGGTACTGGTTTGAAATGAATTATGCTATTCTTTTTTCATGTTTCTTTTATAGGTTAGTCTTGAAACATTCAAATAACTTAGAATACATATGGTAAAACTCATTTGGCTGACATGACTGAATCTTTTCAAGAAAACACGTTTGGTAAAGTAGATTTAAACCAGATAAGTGACTCAAATAAGACAGTTAATGCTATCAAACAGGGCCATCATCATCATTGATAAGCCAAGATTTTTATACCACAAGCAGTTGGAGACTACTTGATGAATTTTGCATGAGATTAGCCAATTTGTTAGACTCATCATATTGAAAAGTCCAAAGCCTGAGATTTTAAGCTGCCAGACTGAATTATAAGAAAAAATAGTTGGTAATCATCGGAGATAAGGCCTTAAGCTCAAATAACCCGATCAATGCTACCAAATAAGGCCTTAAGCCCTTAATCATCGGAGATAAGGCAGGATTTGATGCCACAAGCAGTCTAATTACTTGTCAAATTCTGTATGACATTAGCCAATATTGCAATAAGTTCAATTTGATTAACTGTTTCTGGTTGAAGTATGCAGGGCCATCGAAGCTTGCTTGCGATGAGGCGCATTCACATGAAAATGTTCTGGGCGTCCAACATCAGTTTGTTAGAAACAAATGACACTACACGATTTGAATTTTGAAATCACACCAATCTTTTGTTGTTAATGAGTTATGACATGTGTTGAAATTTTCAGTAGTAGTAAGCAATCTCCAAGAGCCGAAGGCATATTGTTCAAGTGCTACTAATTTTGATAATCACTGGAAGCAAGAGAATATTATATTACCATAAGAGAAACATTAAAAATGTGCACAAATAGAAGTATGTTGTAGGGAAGTGAGAGTGGTTTCATTCCATTAGTGAGCCCCTTTAAATAGGAGGGATTAGGGTTTCACAATGAATGGGCCAATGGGCCAATTAGCTCAATACATATAATCCCTAGATACACTTTCTATCTATAACGAATGCACATTAAAGTAATTTCCTTCAACACTCCCCCTTGTGCTGAGTTGTAGATAGAGTGATGCACACCAAGCTAGTTGTCGTGTAGGAACTTCGTCAAATAACAAAAACCCTGTGGGAAAAATAAACCTTGACGAGAGAGTAGAGTTTATTGGACTTTGTTCATTGAGTCCTTTTGGATTCTTTACCTTGATCGTTACTCACAGTTACCTCGTTAAAAACCTTACCAAGTGACAAAAACCCAATGGGAGAAAAATAAAGCTTGGTTTAAGGAAAAGAGTATAACGTGAGGGTGTAAGACTCCGCCTGAAGGCTACACCTCCCCTTGATATTTACATTAATCAAGGGATTTCAGAAAGCTTACACATTCCAATGTTTTTCACATGTTTTTCGAATGTGGCCTTGGGCAATGACTTGGTAAACAAGTCTGCTACGTTTTCTTCCGAACTTATTTGATTTACTTGGATCTTGAGGAAGGCCTGTTGTTGCTGATTGTAGAAGAACTTAGGAGATATGTGTTTTGTATTGTCACCCTTGATGTATCCTAATTTCATTTGTTCGATACAGGCTACATTATCCTCGTAGATGCAGGTTGGCTCTTCAGTGGTAGGCTTTAAGCCACTAGTTCCTCGAATGTGTGCAATGATAGCTCTTAACCATATACACTCACGGACCGCCTCATGTAGAGCACTGATCTCTGAGTGGTTCGAGGAGGTAGCCACAAGGGTTTGCTTAGTTGATCTCCATGATATCGCCGTGTTCCCGATTGTGAAAACATAGCCAGTTTGGGAACGGCCTTTGTGAGGGTCGGAGAGGTACTCAGCATCAGCAAAACCTACCAAGACATCATTTGGGGTTTTCAGGGGGGTGACCGTTTTGTCCTTTGCACCACAATTCCATTTGTGGTTTTCGACGTCTCTCCGTAGGGAAAGGATAGTCCCAACTCACTGGTCCCTTTAAGATATCTAAAGATATTCTTGATACCGTTCCAGTGACGCTGCGTAGGCGCAGAGCTAAATCTAGCTAACAAGTTCATTGAGAATGCTATATCAGGCCGAGTGCATTGTGCTAAGTACAATAATGCGCCTATTGCACTTAGGTATGGAATTTCAGCTCCTAATGCCTCCTCGTCATCTTCCTTTGGACGAAATGGATCCTTTTTAGGATCTAGACTTCGGCCCACCATGGGAGTGCTAGCAGGGTGCGCTTTATCCATGTTAAATCGCCTGAGTACCTTTTGGATATACGCAGACTGGTGGATTAATACTCCACAAACTCGATGTTCTAATTCAAGACCTAGACAAAATTGAGTTTTCCCAAGGTCTTTCATCTCAAACTCGGATTTCAAATAGCTTGCGGTTTCTCTTATTTCGTCAAGAGTGCCAATTATGTTCATGTCGTCGACATATACTGCTACGATTGCAAATCCGGAACTCGTTTTCTTTATGAATACGCAGGGGCAAAGCTCATCGTTCTTATATCCCTTCCTAATCAAGTAGTCATTTAGGCGGGTATACCACATCCGCCCGGATTGTTTTAATCTGTAAAGTGAGCGTTTCAATTTTAATGCAAACGCACTTCGTGGTTTAGAGTCACTTGATTTAGGTAGTGAAAGTCCGTCGGGTACTTTCATATATATCTCCGAATCAAGATCCCCATACAGATATGCAGTAACCACATCCATCAATTGCATTTCCAATCCTTCAGAAACTGGTAAGCTGACTAGGTATCAGAACGTGATAACGTTACGGGAGAGTAGGTCTCCTCGTAGTCAATCCCAGGGCGTTGTGAGAAACCTTGCGCCACTAGGCGAGCCTTGTACCTTAAGACTTCATTCTTCTCATTACGCTTTCTGACAAATACCCATTTATGTCCTACAGGCTTTACACTTGGTGGGGTTAGCACTACCGGACCAAATACCTGCCTTTTTGTCAGGGAATCTAATTCAATCTGGATTGCTTCTTTCCATTTAGGCCAATCAGCTCTTTATTGGCATTCTGCCACAGAGCGTGGTTCGATATCATCGTGCTCTATAATTTCTTGAGCAACTGTAAATGCAAATATATCATCGATGTGTATGGAAGATCTTTCCATTAGCACATGTGCATTTTCATAATCCATAGAGATTTCCTTGTTTTCTTGAATCATTTCGATCATCGGAGCGTCCTCCAGTAATGATTCATGGACATAACTATAATCGGAGATAATCTCATGGGATGAATGTTGTTCATCGATGATTAATGGATTAGGTTGTGCCGTACTCGACCTCTTCTTCCTTGGACGAGTATCAATCGAACCAAGTGGTCTTCCTCTCTTCCTTTGAGGAGCCACAGCCTCAACCACACCTCCACTAAGTGTGGTTGTAGTGCCTCCTACTACGGCACTGTGCCCTCCCTTGGGGACTTCTAACCTTGCAGACACATTTGCAGCTGGTATGTGTGATTTTGTCACTTTTGCAATATCAGAAAATGCATCAGGCATTGAGTCTGCTACATTTTGCAGGTCTATTATTCTTTTCACTTCACTTTCACAGTGTGAGGTGCGGGGATCAAAATGAGACAGTGTAAGAACACACCAGGATAATTCACGTCGTTCTTCGGAACAATCCTTTTTCTTATCTCCCCTTAACGACGGGAATGTTGTCTCATCAAAGTGACAATCCGCAAATCTTGCGGTGAAAAGATCGCCTGTCAAAGGTTCTAGATAGCGGATTATTGTTGGGGATTCGTATCCAACGTATATACCTAATCGCCCGACCCGGTGGCCCGCCAGAGCCCGGTTCGGGTAGGACCGGCCCGGATGTTTTGTTGGGCGGGCTTGGGTCATGGAAATATGGAACCGGCCCGACCGGGTCGGTCCTGGTTCGGGCTTTTTATTTTTTTCCCCCAATTTTTTTATTTTCCCGGGTTGGGTTGGGTGTTTTGGGCCATTTGGGGTGGTTTGGGGTGTGGGGGGTGAGGGGGGGTCGGGGATTAATTAGAAAAGCAAAAAAAAAAAAAGGTTGGCCTGAGGCCCGGCTTGGCCCATACCCGGTGGAACCCTGGGTCGGTTCTGGCCTTCCCCCAACCTTCAAAAGCCCGACTGGGCCTAGGCTTGTTCTGGACTCGACCTGGCCCGAGTCCAACACTAGTATATGTTGGGTATTAAAGTGTGTAGTGTGTACAAGAAGAAGTTCTCAATCAAATTAGAAGTTCAATATTACACCTTCCCCAGCAACGCCTACAACCCTCCAAGTGCTGCCGAAAACTGCCCTTCCTATGAGACTGCCACCCCAGTCACCCGGTGGCGCCACCTTCATTGCCTATGCTCTCTAATGAGACTGCAGCTGCCACCGCGTCACCTCTGGACTATATCGCTGACGGTTGATCTATGGTGACATTGATATTTTGAAAAACATTGATGACCTATTATGTAATGCCATGTAAAAATAATAAAGGCACTTTGGTATATGACATTCTTATAGAAAACACGCCATTATTTATGCCACTTTCATACGAAACGATGGCATTTTCAAATAAAAGTAACGACATTTTTAAAACTGAAAACATAAAATATAAGCTCGAATAGAAAAATGGAAAATCACAAGTATATTGACATGTCTATAAAGTTAGTGACATACAACTATTTTAGAAGTATTAATGTTAATGATAGTGTAATAAAATGGCATTAATTTCAAATCAATGTGCGATTGAAAATAATAATTTTGGAGTTTTCAAATTCATGATGTTTTGAAAGGAGAGGCGTAGCTAGGGGAGGGCCAACCTTGGCCCAGCCCAAATAAAAATGTCTATTTTTAGTGTAAAAAAATCTGTGTAAAAAAATTCAAAAATATTCTTTGTATCAATCCAGTACCCTTGCTCCGCCCTTGTTTGAAAATCTAATATGAAAAAATGATGTACTAAATAAATAAATAAATAAATAAGTCCTAAAACATGAAAAATACAAAATATAAGTATTTTAAATTGCCCTTCTTAAGCTCCATTGACACACCACACCGCGTAGTGACTCTAGTGCTCAATGAATAACCACTAATAGCGAACTTTGGTGTTTGTGATTTCTTATTTAGTCATAGTTACACCAACTGTGCCAATGACCCTTGATGCCCTCTTGTGACAATTCAGTGATCATTCGCCCTAGTGACCCCACTCCGGCACCTTAGTGACCATAGTCACTTTCTCCTCCGATGGTCAGTGACCTGTTGCCCTGGCCACCGATGCCCCCAGTGACCTCACATTGCCCCCAGTGACTACCCTTGGTGCCCGAGTAACCTCAATCACCTACTGACTCACCAATGCCAAGTGACCTCACTCACTTGTTGCTCCGGGTGCCCAAAGCCTAAAATCCATATCTTCGCTAGCTTCAGGATCGACGTCGATGCAAATGCTTTGGTTGGAAATGTCGTCGAGGATGAACATCGTCATCATCAAGAGCTCCATCATCGTCATTACATGAAGTGGACGACATCAGTGTTGTCTCCGCGAGTGCTACTGTTGAAGCAGAAAGATGGGGAAATGGAGAGATGAATCTGACGCCCCAAGAGATGAAACAGGGATGTGAATTGCATAGGTGGATAGGAATCAATCTAGCTGCTTTGCTTAGCTTATCTTATATTCAGGGGCGGAGCCAGGGCACTGGGTCGGTACAAAGAATATTTATAGGAAAAATTTTACACGAAATTTTTTAACTTAAAAATTAAGACATTTTTAAATTTTGGGTTGGACCATGGCCTAGGTTGGCCCACCCCTAACTCCGCCCATGCTTATGTTGTTTGGGCATATGGATTCAACTAGCATTCATGTGGGTATTTGAATGCGTCGAGCAATCACCTGAAAGGTTGAAAGTAGCT